CTCCTCGCTGTTGCAATTCGAGCCGGCGCTTTTTCTCGGCCTCTAATTGCTCTCGCAGAAGCGCCAACTGTGATTCCATCATCTTTCGTTTGTGCGCGAAGTTTTGCTCCTTTTGTTCAATGACCGTCTCAAGCTAAAACTGAGGAAATGAAAACAGTTAGAACACACAACCATCCTCAAGCAACTTCTCATTTGTTAGACAATGGGAGCCACTTAGGAAAATTACAAAGGAAATTCTCAAAAAAGGATCAGTACAACCTAAAAAGGAACAAAAAGGCACAGTACCACAAAAACAAAAATTCAAATCCCATTTATAACCGTGATTCGAATAAACAAACAATAACTGCTGAATTTGAAGAAGTGGCTACGTAACGACATAGGAATAAGATCAGACACCTATAATTAGGGAATGGATAGCCTTTCAGCCATTTTCTGGTAAAAATAGTAACTCCGAGGATATTTGAACGCACAGAAAGTAGATGCAAAGAGAAGAGATTTATTGTATGCTGCGAGATGAGAGATTGAACTATCTCGTAAAGGGATGAGACGAACCTGTCTTTTCTCTACAGAGAGCTTGGAAATCCTCGATTCCAACTCGCTCTGCTCTTTCATCATTTTAGCCATATTTCGATTACCAGTGTCTCTTTCGAGCTGGGCAATCTGAAAGCAGAAGAATACTGAAAACAAGTAAAAATCTCTATGAGTGTATTCTAAACCTGTGACTGCAACTGAGCGCAATTCCTGTATAGTTCTGTGTTCTCCTTCTCCATGGCTGCTAGAGACTTATCAATCGCTTTCCTCTCACTAAGCGTATTGCGAACAGCAACCTCCGTTCGTGATTTTTCTTCCTCCAACTAGAAATCACGCTATGCATGTATAATATCCCAAAAATATTTTGATTAAAAAGATGCAGTTACTCACAGCTTCAACATGTTTTTTGAGGGATGCCACTTCTCGATCCAAACGTGCACGAAAACCATCCAGCTCTTTCTTCTCCACTTCTACCCTTACCAACTTCCGTTTCAACTCTTCCAATTCAGACGTCAGCATCAATCTTTCTTCAATATTCAACGGTTAAGACTACTAAAAATTTCTACTGTTTTGTACAAGACTTTGGGACGCTTTAAGCGGTTTATCGAACAGTTTGACTGCTTGGCAATTATAAAAGCGCCGCAAAAGAGTCTTTTCAGTATACAAAAAGGACAGCTTGAAGTCCACAGTCGACCTATTCTTGTGCGAACGGTCCTAGGCGTTGCCAATATGAATGTGCATTGGTGGCGAATTTGTGACAGTTGTTAGAAGATTTGATTCAAGTGACATCGTGTGAGCCATGCGCGGGGTACAGAACTTTTCATCGCCGATAGGCCCCCGTAGACTTCTGAGCCTTCCCGAGACTGTGTATTGTAACTACTGGGAATACTGAAGCGCCTCGATTAGTATGAAGACCTTTAGAACAAGCGAACATACACATAATTCCTTTACTTAGGGGAAATGATTGCATGTTCTACAAGAAACATGGAAATGGAACAGCTGTCCGCGGATCGGGACCTGACCATAAATAGTTCTCACTTATTCCCAGGCTTGATATCAAATAATGAATTTTAGGGGTCAAACTTATATTACATTCTTAAATTAAAGTATTTACAAATCCACAACTGATTTCTTACCTTTGCGCAGCATAACCAGCTCTTCCCTCATCTCTCGTTCTAGCTTATTCCATTCTGCTTCGGCTCTTTGGAATGCAGCAATCTGCTGACTCATCGTTTTCCTGGACTGATTTCCGTCCTCAACCCTTCTCTCGGCATCGCCTAGTTTCTGGACCAGCAGCGCATTACGATGAACTGAGTCACGTAGTTCGCTTCTTAGCAGATGGAATTATTTGAAACGATACATCGTGAAGCATTCAACCAA